CGCCTTAGTATTTTTTTGTTGTTGATTTAACCACAATCGGACGCTGAAGTAAAATAAATGGCAGAAAATGAGACGATTTCAATACAAGTTTCAAGTGGAGATGTGTTGAACTTAAGAATACTTCATAAGATTTGTGTACGGTTCGCGCATTTGTTGCCATTAATTAAGTAGAATGTTTCTCACGCAATTCAACGAGCCAACAAACGAAGACGAAATGAACATACCATTCCACTTGACGCACACTATTTTTATATTCCATATAAATCACATTTTCATTTAGAAAACATTTTCATTTTTCTTTCACTTTTAAATGCAATATACGAAAATAACAAAAAGCGCACAATAAATTCACCTTATAATTTCAAATTAGATGGCGAATGATGCAATTCATGTTGAAACGTTCACATAAGAACAGTCATAAGAAAAACTTATAGTCATATGCTTATGAAAGAAGTTTAAATGAAGAAAAAAGACGGACCGAATGAAAAAAGTGAAGAGAACGCTTCCATGTCTGGTGCAAAAGACTTTGAAAATGTGCGAATTAGCATGATTGTGGCAACAATTTTTTTTATTAAGCGAAATCATTTTTTAAAGTGGTTTCTTGGAATTAGCACTTTTCAAACAAAAGCCGTTCTAATTTTTCGCAGAAAAAAAGAGCTGAACGAATTTGACTGTTGAAAATGACCAAAAAAAATATATCATTTGTTTTGTCGGCGGCGAAAAAGTGCATCAAAATATTATTGTATACACATGTATTGTGTTTGTTCGATTCAAACAATCAAACAATAAACGTTATTATTATTCTGTTTGATGGAGTCATGTTCATAAATAAAAAAAGAGCAACGAAACCCATATGTAGTAGTAATATACTGGAAATTGAGAGCGAAAAAAACGACAACAACTGCAGTATGCAACTGATGATAAACAATAACTGGTAATTGATGCGACGTGAACGATCACAGTTTTTTTTTTGCGAGCGTTTCAAATGAGAATCCAAATTGATAGCAGCGATATAAACAACGAACAAGAGAACAATTTTTGTGTGTCTATAAAGCAATAAAAAGTATATTGTAAAAACCGAAGAAATTCTCTCCTGCTCTTTTGCGTTGGTTGCGTTTCGGTTGGCTGAACGTTACACAGAAGAAGTAAGCATAGTTCAAAAAAAACATACGTTGAACGTTGAAATAATTATCAGTTTTCGAAACTATTACACAATATTCTCTTCGCCCCATTTTACGTCTCTGCTTTCGGTTGCGCTTCAGTTTTTATACTCGTCTGACCTTTGAATCGTTTCCAGACTGGAATATTTCGATGTGTCGTCTTCATTGCCAACGTCACATTGGAAGCTGCTGTCAAAAAATGCAGATTACGCATACTATTTATTTAATAAAATAAAACCGAAAATGGTACGCATCACAACACAAATCCACACACACACGAAACTCAAACGGTGTATGATTGTGTTGGTGTTTATATTCATTACTTCTTCTTAATGGAAATGTGTTAATCTATTGTGTTCCACATTTTCCCACGCTAGGTCGAAGTTCTTTCTGTTTTTCTATCTGCTGAATGTGTGCGTATTTGGTTCGACGTCTTTGCGCGTTGCGATTTTCTTGTTCTTGTTTTATATTGCGAACATTTTGTATTTTTGTGCAAAGAAAAAGCCAAACAAATTGCATTGACCACGGAATGCGTTTCTGGTTGTTGTTCTTGTAATGGTCTTTAAATATAGCCACTTTGGCAAACATTCAATTTAATGCAATTTTCTTGTTAAATCTTCTGCTTATGGGCAACATGACATTCAGGTGAATGAACAAAAAGCATGCGTGTGATGTGGAGCATAATAATTGCTCTCGAACAACCTACACTGACCAATGTCAATGACCAAATCAAATGTAATTCCGTATTCGTTATTTACCAAAGAAAATCACGTTTAGATCAAAACTAAAAAATAGAGATGAACAGTGCTTGATTCCATTTTTCCGTGCAATGGTTCATTTGAAACAGTAGCGCAATGACGGAAATTAAATGAAATTGCTTCTTCACAATTTGACTACTAAGTTTGATTTTTTTTTGTTAACTAAAGATAATGACAATTTAATAGCGAAGTATTTCTCCATGACAATGAAGACAAACTAGAAAATTTGTATCCTAGCAAAAAAAAAACAAAACAATTTATTTTGGACGAAATTTGGTTAAGTAAACAGGAACCATATAACGGAATTAGCATAAATTCACCGACCAATTTTTATTGTGGCGACGTTTGTGTTGTTGCGTTTTTTTCCCATCGTAAATGCGACACGCAACGATTAGCACAGCAAAATCGAGCGCAGCGGAAAGAAAAAGGAAATGAGTGGTAGTTCTGGGTGAGGGAAACAAGTCCTTGTGAATAACATTTGCATAAATTACCGCGTAGATATCTAATGTTTGTGCATTTATTCATTGAGAAAAAGGGATCGAATGAATGATAAATGATAAAATGTTCAAATGATTGTATGTGTTTGGTGTGTTCACAGTTAACCAAGTCAATCAGTCACGATATGGTGAATTTCATCCATATTTATGTGAGAATGGATTCGATTTAAAGCATAGAGTTGGAAATACACACTGATTATATGGCCAATTTACTTCCATCAAAAACAGAAAACAAAAATTTGTAAAAAGTTTTGTTTTATTTTAATTGTCAATTAAGTCGACGATGATAAAGCAGGTTGATTCATATGATTTCAGTGTGTGGCGTTGGCAAGCCGCTGCACGTGGTATTAACTTTTTTAGTCAATAGGTTATTTGAAATGCATTGTGTTCGTACTACGATAGATAGTAGCGACCACATCAAGTGTGGAATATTTATGAATATAGATATATTTCATTTGTTTTGTTCATTTTGCTCAATAAAACAGGTAAATAATTCCCGCGCTTATTAAGTTGCCTGTGCTGCAGAAAGATTGCATACAATATAATAAACATACACTTTCTTCTATGCACCATGCGCACATGTAATATAATCACACGGTGATGTGTACAGTGCATATACGGCAAATCTGTGAACCGTTCTCTCTCTATCTCTGTCATTCGTTCGCGTTCTCGTGATATGACTTCGCGAATAATTTATTCTTCATACATTTTTTTTCTCTTATCCGAACACTGTGAGGTTTTGGTTTGCATGAGGAAAAATAGTAAAAAAAACACATTTTCCCATGTCTTCCGTTAAAAGTGATGGGCTGCCATCAGAGATCTCTCTCTGTCTCTCACTCTCTCATCAAAGCGATAAATTTGCTGTATTCAATCGGATAAAGTAGTTTTTTTCTCTCTCTGATTATTTCTCACTAACGGTGATCGTATTTTACAGAAACATTGATTGGATAAGAAATTGCATTTTACTATCTGTCATCATGTCGTACCAATTAATTTGATCGTCTGACAAGTGACGGCTTAATTTTAGATGTCATTTTTTGACCTGCTTCTCCTGTCATAACTTTCATGATAAAAATGAATTTCTCCGTGGTAACATTTTTTATTAATAGAGAACGACACATTGCAAGTTTTTTTTTTTTTAATTGATGCCAATTTAAGATAGATAAATTCCAAAAAAAAGATTAAATTCACATTTAAATAATCTCACATTTATGGAAATTGATTTCCAATGAATATTCAACAGTTTCTTTTTCCATTTATTTTTAAATCCATTTGACAAACATTCATCCGATGAAAGTATGAAGTAGAAACGCCTTCGATGCTTCCATCATCACCAATAATAATGCGCGATGACAGTGTCGAGGTTATTTCACTGACTGAAAATCATTTATTTTGGCCTAACGTTACTTTGACCTCTTTGGCCGCAGTATTCACGCATAAAATACAAGTTTGATGACTCTATTTTTATCGTTACATGCGACACCTTTTCAATTCAAACGGGGAATTTCCGTGTATACATTTGTCGCATGCATTTTCTCTTTACATTTGTATACTTCTTTGTTTTAGATAAACAAATGCGTTTCTATTGAAATTAAAAAAAAAACACACAAAAAATGAGCTGAAGAACAATGGCATTTTCCGTGTGCTTATGCCAATGTATGTGTGTTTGTGTGACATCGTCACATAAGCTACTATCACATAAGATTTTGTCGACGTGCTTTAAAATCCATAAAATACAATCTCGATCCAGATACACGTAACAGAACAAACGGTGTGCATTTTGAAAAGAAGAGACAACAAATTATTTTATGAACAAAACAAAAAATGAATATACATACATAAAAGCCGAAGTGAAATACACAAAAAAAGCCTGGCATAAGAGATGACTGCAATGCAGTGAACCGCGATGGTGTATGGTCGTCGACGGCAATGTTTATATTTCAATGGTTGTGTTTTTCGTGCGCCAACGCATTTAGCTCATTTTCTGTTATAGTTTCTTATTCACTTGCGCATCAGTTTTTTGTTGTTGTTGTTTGAAAATTTATTATTTATTTTGTCATATATTTTTTTGTATGTTTCACCATTGTTTTGGCTTTTGCTTGGTATACGGTTTGGCTTCATTTGATATTTAAAAACACTGCGATTCCATATGCGCTGTAGAGTCGCGTTTTATGTGCTCGTGGTTGCAGCGTACCTCATCAAAACGTTGGTTTTCTGCGCTCGCTCGTTTGCACTCTACATTCTCTCGAAACGAACGGCGGCGGCGTCGCAACTTGAACTCAATATACACTAAACGAGAAAAAAAGGCACATTTCATTGCATTCTTAATCACTTCTTGCGTGTTTGCCTTCTCGATTTTCTCTTTTGCTTTGCTTCTTCGTTCTTTGAGTATGTTACGCGCGATCGGCATACATGTTTGTATATCTGTGTGTGTGTGTGGCGTAGAAAGCCATCTGTGTGTATGTGGATAGTTGAGTCTTTTGTATGCTCAACGCGAGCTACACACTTCATTTCCATTCGATCGGTGTACGCGACAGGATCGTTTTGTTCATTTCAATTCGAGTTCGTTGTTTTTTTTTCGTCGATCTCATGCATTTTTGTAGTAGCAAGCGAAAACATCACGATTTCAAACTCACACTTGTGCCTCACACAGTTTAGTTTTGTTTATATTTTAAATTCATAGACGTGTTATTCATATTATCATAGTGTTTGGAAGTGAGAGTTATTTATAAGGCATAGGTTTGAAAATTTGTGCTAAGTAACGGAATAAATTTGAAATTATTCGTAATAAAAAATATGAAATCGCCAACGGGCTAGAAATCGACGATTCATTGAAAGATTTTTATCGTGAACATAGTTCGAAATCATCATTCAAGTGACAAATGTGCTAACAGCAGAAAAAAGAGGATTCCGTTGGGAAAATAACTTGTTGCAAGGTGCATGTGTAAGGCGCTTAAGTGAGAAAAACGAAGAAGTAGTGAAAAAAAAGTGTGTGATCAATGATTTCCGCTTTTGAGTGTGGGAATTTTATCGATAGAAAAGGAAGAAATAGAAAAACAAACTACGCACGCTGTTTATGAAGATAGGAACTGTAATAGTGCAAGTAGTTTCCCTCTTAAATGGATATTTCCGTTGATGCAATTCCTGGATCGAATTACGCACGATATTCTATCGAAGCTGGGAACCAAATTGTTTCGTGCATCTGTTGGTGAGCGCAATTTTTTTTTTATTTCGTCTTAACGTAATAAAAACTGGTCGGGAACTTCGATGACTAGCAATTTCATAGAATTTGAATAAAACAGGATGAAATTTGAATGTTGATGGTCGGATAATGACGAGAAGTCCCTCATTATAAATATGAAAAATGTCTATAATTTTATGACCGTATTCAATGAAGCCGCGTTGAATGTTAGCACGAGCCGTTAATGCTCTTGTGTATATAGAATGTTTTTGTTACAAGCCTCCCGCAAGTATAAAGAAGAATCCTTCAAAGAACCGATCATTTCAGAGACCCATTAAAAAATCTTTACATGTCAAGTTCAGTGTGTTTACCTGACAAGGAGTGCCGAAAATCTGCTGATTTGTTTGACCACAGTGCAACCATTTTTCAAGTACAACCTCTTTTTGTTTCGGTGTTCTCAGAACTGTGCACACACAAAAACTGTACAGATTTTAAACGGAAACGAAAGGGAAAGAGCAAAAGAAACAATAGATATGCAATCAGCATCAGTGAACACGCACAACAAATCCAAAAGAAATATTGAAAAAAAAATGTAAAGTAAAGAAAACGAAGCTCATGCACGCACACATTTTCATCGAGCGCACTATGATTTTTGTTTATTTGTGTGTTCACAATAAAAGGGCATGTGATTTAATGAGCCGATATTGTTGTGCTGCGGCATCGTGTGCGCATTTCAAGATTTCAATTAAATAAACTGCAGCAATGCGAATGTTTACTCATTTGAATACGGAATTTATTTGTTTGTTTTTTCGATCGCTTAACTCTGAAAGACTAACACCGAGAGCAAGCGAAAGAGAACAAAAAAAATGTATAACAACCAACGATTGGCTGGTATTGTTTTTAGTTTCCTTATGTGTCTCAAGGAATGGAAATAAATTATTATTTTGTGTCTACATTTTCTCTCCTTCTCTACTGCTCTCTTTCTTTCTCGATGCTTGTAAGGAATATATTTGCGTTTCATGTAAACACCGACAATAATAATAAAACGTTCGATGCTCGTGAATGTGGTAACAAAGAAAGGGAAACAAATATACACAAATGATAATCTTGTGCGCGCCACATTTACGGTTTGTCATCGTTGAGCACAAGTGGATTTTTATTGTGTCTGCATATTGGATTGACTATTCCAATAGCAACAAGTTGTATATGTGTGATCGTGTGTTTGTGTGCACTTTAGCGCTCTACCTCATCTAAACTTTAAAATCCAAATTCGAAAGAGTATAAGTGGCGACAATAAAGTCATTCAAAGTGAAACGGAATAAATGAAGGCTGCGCATTAGCAATACAACGCAACCAAATCAAATTCAAATTGAAGAAATTTTGTGCTTATGGTTTGTCCATTGTCTGTGTATAATTTAAAAGAGTTGAAACTCATGCATTGTTTTACACCGGGTGAGGTGAAGCACAGCTGTATGTTACAAATGATCGAAACTCGTGCGCTCAAGCACAAAATAAAATAAAAATGTGAAACGATCGTTTATTTGCTTTTCAAAAGTCTCAATTCTGTTGGTTGATGTCTTTTATTTATTACAATGCGAACCGATTTAGTACGGTCCATTGTGTGTGTAATTTCACACGACACGAGATTGGAGAAAATGAAAGAAGGCAATTTAATAGAAAAATGCATTCCGGTAATTGAAAGCACTTTTTGATGGCGTAAATGCGGAGAGAGTGATCGTAATTCATAGCGTGTATGCGGGATGCAAATCCGAAATCTATTTAGTTTCAATGTGCGTAACGATACGTAACTGAAACCACTTCAGTTCGTTTGTTGAGAGATGGCTTTTGATCTTTATCATCACTTCATATAGGTTTTGGTGTTTCGTTTTCATTTCAATAGAAATAAATCTTTCGCTTTTTGGTTTTTTATTTGTTCATTTTCTCTTCGGAGTACTTTACATTTTACAATTAGTTTGGCTTCATTTGTATGGAAGTGAATATCGTAGCCTAATTTAAAATTCAAAACTGCCACTTTGAATTCAATGTAGTTGACAGTTTTTTTTTCGAAATGTTTACACGTTCTGAACCGACACTTGAGCAATTTAGATCGATTGTTTGAGACCTTTTTTTTATTTTTCTCGCTTGTTCCAAATGCAAATCAATTAATTTGAGTCACATAAAGGCGATTATATCGCTGTCTTTGTAAATTCCGTCATTCAAGTGATTTATTCTATTTCGGGTTTCTGGGTGTAAATGAGTACTTCTTTCGAAATTTTGTTTCAATGACTTTTTAGCATGATCATAAATCAACGCTTACAACGCATTAGAATAAATCAAACAAATAAAAATGGCCTTTAATGACGCACACCATTCGAGCACTCTCGAAACATTTTGAACTTTAAATCTTACAAGAACACAATCAAATATTAGCACACACTCATTAACACACAGTTGAAGTGTATCGAGCACGATCGTTTGGTAGGCTTTTCAAGGCTCGTTCAATCACATTTCAAAATCGAACCGCAAAAAAGTACATCTTCAATTTAAGAATAAAATGCTGCGGAAATATTTCGAATCGAAGCAGAGCAACAAAAAGACAAGAGAGAAAAATAAAGCAACAAATGAAATTGTTCCGAGTAACTTTGTTCAATTGATTTTTAATTGTTTGTCCAATCAAAAGTAATTTCAGTGCATTCAACCCGTTGATGCAACACTGTTTCGGCACATAGCAGATGTTAGTTATTTTCGAATCCTTTTCCACGAATCACCATTTGACTTCGGTCAACCTCACAAATTACACAATCAATCCGTTACAAACGAATTTCAAGCGCAAAGACACACAAATGCACTAAATTGGCAACGCGCACGCACATGAATTTAACAGATTGAATTGCGCCTGCTGCATTGTTGTCTCTCTATTCCCTGCACTGTTTTCAATTGTTTTGTTTCATTTTTTGTTCGCACCGTAAATTATCAGCGTCATGTGCAGTAATAGTAATGATTATATATTTAATTCGCTTGCTTCTTTTCTTGTTTTATTTAACAAATCGTTTTCATTGCTCAATTTTATGCTCAACGATTATTATCAATCAAACGGTCGGTTGCATCGTGCATTGAAAACAACTTTTACGACTGATATATTACTCTAACAGAGTGCCATTTTGAGCAAAAAGAATAAATTCAAACATAATGCATTTCTTTTACAGTTTTAATTATTACGTCTACTTGGGCGAAGATGAAACACTCGAAAAAGATGTAACACAAGCAGTACATGTTCAACATCAAAGCCTTTGTCGAAATATAGCATTGAACGCATACCCCAACTTGTGTGCGCTTTTTAATCGCTCGTATCTTGTGCAATTTTGATGATGCCGGTGCACTTGTAATACTTGATTTTCTGGTAACAACATGACAACTGTTTACTTGCAAAAACTTGTTCTATCTACCGATTGTATCTACGAGAATCTAACGTTCCTTTTTTTACATTTATGTAATGCTTTACAACTCTCCGTTTGATTAATTTAACGTTATGAAGGCTGGCATTGAATCCATTTGAAAAAAGTGCTGGTTACGAAATGGAGATTTAACTTGTAATTTTATATTTATGGTTAGAAAAAAAAATCTTTATCTCTTTTTTTTATGAAATCCTAAATGTTTTATCATTGCAAAATGCTGCAAAATGTGATAGTATGAAAACGAATGGCACTCCGACAAATCATTGTAAGTCTAAATGATGAAAATGAAATGTGTTGCCATCCAAATGTATGTAGCTAACTATCTATTGTGTTCCGAGTCTCAGAAGTTTGAGAGTACTGTGTTTGGTCTTTTTTTTTGAAACTTGATTTCGTGTATATGCAATTTGTAATTTATAAACAAGCATGTATTTCATTGTCGCTTATAACGAAGTATAATAATTTCTAACATATCACATCGTTAATTCGAAGACCGTCAATTTTCTCTTTGACTAATCTCACTTCTATCTTTGAATAATCTCGTTTTGCGCTTGATTATCAATAACAAAATTGCTCACGGTTCAAGAAAATGTAAACAACCGCTAATAATGCTTCTGTTTTTGTTCGCGCTCCCTCTATCTCTCTCTCTCCTCTCATCTCACTTCACCTTTTGTCTTATTTCGTGACCCATAATCAAATTAAAATTTCTCCTCGATTTTAATTGTCATGATCGGAAAACGTTACCACCACCACGTACACACGACGATTTCAATCGCAAAGAGATGAAAAAGAATATGACCTATTGTTGTTAATTACAACCGAGAATATAATCGCCAATAATGATGATGACATGATGTGAGCTTCTCAACAAGCATTTAAACGAAGAAATTATCAACATATATTGAAGCACGTATGTATATCGAGGTCAATTTAGCATGCAAATTCTTTTTTGCTGTATTTAATCAACACAACATTGAAATGTGCCAACAACAAAATACAATGTTCTCGTCGAAATGGTGTGCCTGAACGTGAAAATTGTTCGTGGTCATATATGCCGAGAAAAGCCAAAATGGATTTTCATATATGTACGACACATAAAAGCAATGAACACAAATTATAAATCAGACAATGTCGAATGTCGATACAAATAACAGTGTGAATTCGAAAAAAAAAAATTCCGATAAAAAAACAAAGCGGCAAAATGCTGCATTAAAAAATTACCATATCGTTTGGAAATCAAAAGCAACGAAGAAACTGATTTGTTTCCAGAGATAGTGCAGACATAGACAGAAAAAAAATGGTACATAAATGGTATGTGTACTAATACACGAATCAACAACAACAATAATAACCAGAATGGAATGAGCGTGTGGCGAACGCTCGAGCGCAAATTCTGTTGTAAACGAACGAAACTTGTTTTAAGCCTTCACTCTGTTTGTGGGTCAGACGACACACAGTTTTATCTTTGGCAACAATTTTTGTTTCTGGTTTTCCATTCATCCATGTGTGTGTGTGTGTTTTTTTTCAAGTTCCTTATTTGAGTCGAGTAGATAAAAAAAGACGAAGAATGAGTTG